CATTCTTTGCTAACCACAAATACTTCACAATGGGATGGATGTGCGTACCTGTTGAGCACTACACAACTTCTCACACCCTGGAATCGGAGTGGACACTACCACTGTCATTACTGGTCCAGCACTGGGTTTTGGATGGTACTTGGATTTTAGCAAAGCAACTGTGGAAAACCCAGCTCCACAAAGGCCATCACTGAAATGAATGTAGGATGGCCAAATGCTGAGACTGTGAACTACCCTGAGTTAGTAGTTTGCATGGTGTCTGACAGGTATGATGGCATAACTGTTTCCCACAAATATTTAAAAGATTTTGTGTGCCCCTGGGTGCTTTGGTACCTAGTCTAGGAAGCACAGATTTAGGTAAAGAAATGTAGGGTTAAAAAAATTCCTATAGGATTCAAATAGTTTGTGCGTGTTGGTCTGCCTGCACAGTTTCCTTCAAAACCATTTTTCCACTTGGCCACTAGAGAAATCTATACAAAAAACATACATATCTTGCTTAATCATCTTCAGCTGCTTTTCACTGTCCAAGAATAAAATCCAAGGGCCTTAATGTTGTACAAATAAGGTCCACCATGATCTAGCCCTTATCCTGCAAGCCCAGTGTCAACTATCCTACACCATTCACATGCTCTAGGGATTCTGAATGGCTTTCAGTTCCACCCACAAACCAGCTGCTTATCAGTTCTTAGCCCCTGGCAGTGCCTCTGTGGGAATATAATCTCTCACTGCCTTGTTAAATCCCATTAATCTTTTAAGACTTGGCTCAGCTATTATCTCTTCTAGGAAGCTTTCTTGATTGCCTCCATATCACCAGTTCTACTCAGACTGGGTTAGTTGCCTTTCTGCTGTATTTCCCTAACAATGTCATAGAGTGTGCACACCCTTATTATTATGCTTTATATAGAGTATGGATATTATTTGTATGTTTGTTTCAACCACTAGTCTGTGAACTACCTGAAAAGCATTTTACTCACTTTGAAATTATCAGAGCCTACTATGAGTTAACTAGGAGGCACTCAGTAAATGTTGAATGAATAAACAGTAATTCTCTTTAAAGGTGTTATTACTCTACTAATTTATTTAAGTTCTCCTATTGCATTTAAAATATGAATCAAGTTAGAAAAATTCAATTTAATAATACCTTTTCCAGCTATATATTACATAAAGTAAGGCTTCTGTGTGAAATATTACAATGTATTTTTGTGTGATAAAAGGTACATCTTAATTTCCTAAAGTTATTAGTCAATCATCAATCATAAAAATTCCATTAACTGAAGAATAAACATATTTAAGGAGGTCATATACAAAATTTTAAAACAGTGATTTACTCTTCTAGATTTCTTAGCATATATTTAATAGTCAGAACTTCTAGTTCTCAATATTTTTTCCCTTTTCCTCTTTGGTCCCATTAAAAATTTTCCTCCCAGTCAGTACTTTCAATACCTAGAAAGTCTGAAGGAAATATTCAAATATTGAGGTCCAAGCTGAGTGTAAACAGAATATATTTTTTAGAATCCAATTAAATTGTGTCATTTTTTTTCTTAATTCTAGAAGCACTGCTGAACAAACACTATTCACACAAACACATATATACCATTATTACAGTAAGTAAGTTATAATAAAATTGATGATTTCCCAGTTAAGAGTCTGGCAAATGCCTTGATAAAGAGTAAGTGCACATGCCAAACCATGCATATGGCTCTGTCATTGAATTCTATATACCTGTTGGTTAATACATAGTTTTGGAAATTCGGTTTTATAAAATAGGTATACCAAACTCATGAATGACATTTGCATTTGAATAGTTACTGTAATTCACCGTGCTTTTGTGGTATTCCTGCCATGAATCCATACCTTCCTAATTCAGCGCTTATGATGGAACACTCCCATTCTCAGACGGGCTTGGCTGGAATGGGAGAATGGGTCTTAAGAAAAATTTAACTATATTACCTTTGTATACCAATGAAAATTTTATTTGAAGCCTGCACTTATCTATGGTCCAGTATTTGGCTTAATGTAGTGTCAGTAACTATTAATATTATCTGTGAAAGCTTTCACTTACTGTGATGAGTAGTGAGCTCACAAAATTCTTATAGCAGTAATATCTAGAAATTCTAAAAATAGGATCATATTTTATCCTATCATGATTTAGAAATTAGTTCAAGTTTTCCACAAGTAGCAGATGCTCACTAAAGTAACAAGTGCACTTGGGTAACAATGAATTAAGTAATTTGACATGGCCTTTATCAAATGGGTAGACATTTATGTATCTTCTGATAATGCCTGCACATGGACATTACAGGATTCTGAAGGCAATCTTATGGAGATGTGCAAAGGCCATGGTGAACAAAAGAGTTCTCCTAAGAAATAAAGGATAACAACAATAATGGAAACACAGAAAACAGAAAAAGGAGAACTGAAAGGTAGGAAGATGTTGTAGTACCTATTTAAGTAACAGTAAAAATAATAACAAGACCTCTATAGTGACTATTATGGGCCAGATACTGATCTAAGCACTGTACATCTATCAATGCATTTATCTTTAAAACAATCCAGTGACAGAGAAACTATTGCTTGCCTTATTTAAAACTTATGGAAATCTAGGCACATAGAGGTCAGAGAGCTAATAAGAGGTAAAGTTATAATCTGAACTGAGATATTTTGGCTGCAAAGTTCAGGCTCTTAACAACTTAATCATACTGCTACACTGCCCAGAGGTGACAAGGCAAACTGACTCAAAAGTTCAGTTTGTCCCACATGTATTCATATATTCATATCCTGAGCACAGGCCATGGACGTTATTGATTCAATGGTGAACATGGAATAATTTCTTCCCTTCTGAAACACAGAGATTTGGAAGTACTACAGATATATTTTGATTTTCATGTTTAATCAAACAACCTTCAAATAACTAGGCATCACTTGTAGCCTGCCTATATGGAAAGAATGTGCTGGTCAAGTCAATACAAGCACATGCACTGACTGTCAGGTCTATTTCCATTCTGGGTTATTTACTTGGTATTCTGGATTACATTCTTTGAACCTATGATTTGATAAGAATCAGCATTCATGAGCCTGATCAACCCTGGGACACTGATGGTATCCTTTTACTTCTGCTTCAGACCTATTTGTGGGGCTAAAATTAAATGATATAAGCTCTTTGTAAACTTAAAGATTTCTTAACCAAATATAGTTATATTTATTTACAACAAAGAATTCTGACAGTACTTAGAATCTTTCAGTATCTTCAAGGCGACCAATTACTTCTGATTCACTTTTGGTCAAATAAAGCTGAACGTGGTGAAACATTTAAGTTAGTACCGAATATCCCACTCAATTCAAAACTTGTAATTTCATACATATTTATTGATTTTGGAAAAAGAAGTTATGTACATTACTCTTCATGAGGCTAAAACTTTAATATCATTTTAACACAACTGTTGACTTCCTTGAATACACAGTTCTAAGTCCTAAGAAAAAATAGCATTGATATTTGAGCATAAGATAAAATCTCAGGTAAAAACTTTAGAAGGTGTGGGTAAATTTGGCTTTCTTTTGGGAGTTAATGCTGTTTGCTCAAATCCTTTCCTATCATTAAAGTAACACTGTATACTAATTTCTCTGTGAAATCTTAAGAATTTTTCTGAAAAATTTATGTATTGTGGAAGAACTGTTAGACTAATGCCCATAACACATACTTTCCCAAAACTAAAATATTAGATTTATATGCCTAATACCCATTTATTTTCAAATACTCAAATCCAACTACTGTAAGTTTAGGACTACACATAAATTTTTGAATAGCATTATATCAATAGAAACCTGGGGGTGAGAAGAAAAATAATTATTACCAATAATAATTTAAAAACCTATAACTTTTAGAGAATGATTACTTTGAAAAGATACATGAAGTGAATTTACTTTCAAAAAAACTGTATGAAGAAAGGATTAAAGGAGTGAAAATTCCAATGATAGTGAGATTTTTCTCTTGACTTTTGTGGGAAAGACATGGAATCCTAACGGAAACCAGAATCTTTGGTGCACATTTTTTCCCCTAATGCAATTGTTACAAGAAGAAAACAATTTAAAATAATAATTATTTTTTTATTTCAGTAAGAAAGCAAAATCTAGTAGAAAATAGCATTCTTTAATATACCAAAATTATCACAATTTTTCTAAATAAAGATCTTAATTCTATTTAAAAACTTTAGAAAATAAGTAATCACAGATACAAGTTTTATAAAAATAAAAAGCTCAAAGTCTCAAGAATATGCAGGTTTTATTGAATCTAAAAAATAAGATTTCTGTGTAGGACAGGGAAAATGGTCAATAATATTATAATAACTTTATATGGTGACAGATGGTAACCACACTTATTGTGAGCATTTCATAATGTACATAATTTGTGAATCACTACCTTGTATACCTAATACTGTATGTCAACTATTCTTCAGTAGAAAACAATTTAGGAAGAGATTTCTGGAGTACTGCAGTACAATGGTAATCTATACCATCATATCATGGTAGAACTCACATATGAAATATATTTTAGTAAATACAATATTCAAAACTCCTAAGAACAGCTTTGATACTACTTGAATACTATAAAAATATGTGAACATGACTATTATATGAAAGAGAAAAATGAAATTACTCTTAAGTTTACATAGTATTTCTCTAAGAAATGGAATGCTAAATGCCTATCAATAATCAAAATGTTAAAAAATTTGAAGCATTAACTTTTCTATATAATCAGAAGTATTTTGATAAAAATGAAACAAACATGGTTCTAATAAGAAGGAATATTTTATAACATCCAACTTTATAAGAAAATGTTCAGGATAAGCTTTTAACTACAAATACATATTCATGGGATTTACTCATCTTCTTCACAAGCTGAAGTAGAAATATTTCCTATAAAAATATTTTCCTTATTTTTCCAGCACTTACATAACACATTGTATAGAAACACAGCAGAAGTTATTTTGCACAATTATTACCTGTAATGTGTTCTCCTACAACTGAATTTCCTTCTCTCCACTTAGCCGTCACATCAGTGGGATCAAGTAAGCCTTCAAAAATGTGCTCCCAGAGATATAAACCTGGTATTAAAAACAGACAAAAAACATTTACTAACTGATTTTTTCTGGTAGGTGAGATGTAGTTCTGTTCTGTTCTTTTATATATTTGAAATTAGGAAACCAGACTTTATTCCTCTTGGTCCTTTGGCAGACAGTTCTACCAAGCAATAGCTCAAAATCATCAATATGGCAGCTAATGTATGAGTGACAGAACTCAGAGGTTGTCAGTGTAAAATGTAGCGTGTGGGTATTTTAAAGACAATAACGTCTCTTACTCAAAATTTGCAAAACCTCTAATTATCACTGGACCTTTACTACGTATTTCATTCTGAAATGTGTTACTATAATGTAAGTTATTATGTGATTAGAACTGTGTCTGTATTACAACAAACTGGGGGGATTCACCATTTTGTGCCAAACACAACCAGAAGAGTTCATGTATATACATATACATTCAATATTTCAAGGAGACAGTAACTCCTCCTCTCTTAAACACATATCCCTCACTGTATGATGTCTTCTGTAGACAAATGTCATTCCATCTGTTTTTCTTAGGGGAGCCCCTGATGTTTTATGATTTCACCTCAATGAAAGCTCTGAGAATAGAAGAGAGCAGTGCCACACAATGAGGTCCTCTGTAGATAACCTGGGAGCCCTGTTCACTTTTGCTTTTGTTGCCAGTACATTTGGTGTTATATCCAAAAAATCACTGCCAACATCAATGTCAAGCTTTCCCCTATGATTTCCTCTAAGAGTCTTATGGTTTAAGGTCTTATATTGAAGCTTTTGTTTTGAGTTGGCTTTTGTATATGGTGTGAGGTAAGGGTGTAAATTCTTTCTTCTGCATGTGGATATGCGTAAGTCCATCCACATCTTCAATCTTCCACCTTTGCTCCTTCTGGGCTACCGATTAACGGACTCAGCTACTTGGTGGGACTTATAAGTCCACGGGCACCCACTCCTTATTGGGACACTTCTCTCTCCACACAAAGTGAATGAGCAGATGCTCATTTTTTTGCCAAAAGCTCTGCTCATTGGGAGGATTTTCCATCACTAACATATTTCAAGGCAAACCTAGTGATGCTGCAATACAGTAGCAGTCCACCTTCAGTCAGCACTAATGTTCCAGGCTTATCTCTCTATTTTTTTTTTCTTTTACCTGGACATAAGGAAATTCCAGTGAGACAACAAGCATGATTTGAGTGAAAGGCATCAATATTGTAGTGGCAGGTGCTTAGCCATAAGTCTGTTCAGTTTATTTGTATCCCCTGCTCTGCTTATGAAGAAGAGAGTGGATCTTAAAAGTCCTCAGCACAAGAAAAAATACCATTTATGTGAGGTGATGAATGTTAACTAGACTTACTGTGTTGATCATTTCTTACTATATACATATATTGAATCATTATGTTGTACATCTGAAATTAATATAATGTTATATGTCAATTATATCTCAATTAAAAAAGATAATACATTTGAATTGTATAAGCCACCAGTATATTTTTGGCAAATAGTTATGGTAGCTATAGGCAACTATAAATTATGGCACCCAGAAATGGGGTGCTACTATAACATATACTTAAACATCTGTAAGTGGCTTTGGAAGTGGGTAATGGGGAAAGGCTGAAAGAATTTTGAGGTGCTTGATAAAAAAAGCCTAGATTAGATTGCCTTGGACAGATTATAGGTAGAAATATGGATGCTAATGGCCCAACTAGTGAGAACTCAGAAGAAAGGAGCACAGTAAAAAAAGCCTATATCACCTTGGAGAATATCTAAATCATCATAAGCAGATTTTTGGTAGAAATATGCACATTAAAAGTGCTGCTGGTGAGGGCTCAGAAGGAAATGAGGAACATGTTATGAGACTGGAGAAAGGGAATACTGGTTATACAGTAGGAGGCTTAGCTGAATTGTGTCCTGTAGTTAAATGATAGGCTTGGATATTTAGTTGAAGATATTTCCAAGCAAAGTGCTGAAGCTGTGGCCTGGTTTCTTCCTGCTGATTACAGCAAAATGTGAGAGGAAAGAGAAGACTGACAGAAGAACTGTTAAGCAAAAAGGAACCAGGACTTGATGATTTAGGAAATTCTCAGCTTATTCAGATTGCAAAAGAGGTGAAAAACTGGGAGATATGCTTTCAGGAAAGCATGCTTTAGAAAGGTGGCTGAGGCTGTAATTGCATATCCTTTTCCTAATGCCTCAGAAGGATAAAAAGGTCAGAATATTCAGTTAGACAGAGGGCTTTTGAAGATATTTGGTGTAATTTATGGATCTCCTCAGCCATCTCAGCAGAAAGCAGAAATAGAGATGGGATTTCCAGAAGACCTACGAAGGAACTCTTGTATAATGGAGTGAATCCTTGTGGCATATATAGGAGACCCTCAAGTTTTTTCAGAATGTTGTATCAGCAGAAACACTGCCAGCTTGGACTAAAAAGGATGGAGAGATGTTGAAATGAAAGAAGGCTGTTGGACTCCAAAAGTCCTACCAGCAGGAAGCAGGCTGATAAAACTACTGAATTGCAAATATATGCTACCCTTCACAACAAAGGAAGTGTACTCCAAGGGTTGGGGAGCTGAATGGCTGGAAGTAATGCTTTGAGCTACAAATTATTTCCCGGCCTTGAAACCTAATGGAGTTTTGCCTGGTTAGATTTCAAATTTACTTGACCAGTGACTCCATTTTCCTTCCATTTTCTTCCTTTTTGATGGGAATGTCTGCAACTGGTATCCAATGATTGTGCCTGGAGACTAGGTTGATGAAGGTAATGTCTGACAAAACTCATCTGGCCACTCTGCTAGACTGAGAAAAGTCTGAAAACATGAAAACCTTTTACGACATAGATTTAATTAAAAACAAGAATAGGAAGTGGGAATTAAAGGAAAAAATTAATATAGACGTTGTAAAGAAAAAAACTGCTACAACTTGACAATTAGAGGCCTGAGTCTGGATACTTGAAATTTAGAAGTCAGTAGTAATTTTTAAGGATGTATATTTGTATTCAAGTTTGAATGAACTTATTAAATTCCATGGGCTGGGCATTATTCTCAGTTTATTTTCCTCTCATCTGGTACTTTCTATCCATATCTCTTGTCATACAAACATCCAACTCATGTTTACAGGCCAAATGAAGATCTTTCTGCTTCACTAAATTCTTTGACTCTTCTAACCCTCTCTGAGGGCCCCATTCTTTCATTGAGCATAATATGTAACTTGGAACACTAAACTTTCACAGAAAAAATGCTTTTGTGGGCAATCAAGTTTAATCAGTGACATACAATATCTCCTTCTTGGACATTCACAATGAACTCTGGCATATTAAAGGCTCTGAGAGAGGCCTGACATAAACAGCCTTGTTTTACTTTGTTAAGTTCAATGTTCCCCAAACTTACTTGGCCATCAAGGGCAGGGGCCACATCTCATACTTGTATATCAAGCATCCAATAAAACGGTGCTCTGGTAAAACCAACAATAGAATATGTTTGTATGTTTGTGCCTGTGTGTCTATGTAGGTAAAATTGTAATATTTCCAGAATATCTCCCCTGGCTTTAGTATATCTGCATATCAACAGGCGCTCAAGGGTGGAGAGAAGTATGGCTTTAGTGCATTTGCATCATTCCTCAGGGGCGGAGAGAAGTTCATCTCCATATAATGGGTAATTACCTGGGCAGCTGAGGGCTTATCTGTACCTGAGAGGGGGGTGGGGGGACAGGAGGGGGCATGGTTTTGCTTCTGCAAGAGCAGGAAAGAGAAGGTCCCGGACTGCAGTTTGTAAGCTTAAATAAATGGATTTTAACTTTATTTCTCCTTTTAACTGATTTCAGTTTCAGAGGTATTTTGCCCCAGGATTTCCTTTCCCCAGACATAGTCTATTTACATACATGTTTTCTAAGGAAAAGGAGAAATGAAACAGAGAAAAAGTGAAAAAAATACATCACAACTTAAATTATGAAATAAACTATAAATGTATTAAAATAAGGTGAACTGAATATTAACAAAGTGCATTTCATGATACTTTGACATGTCTTAGCTCTAAACATTAACTTACCAATGGCAGCTTTGCCCCAGATTTGTACATGGAAGTCTGTTTTCCCTTTTGTGGATTTATTTAATATTTGAAGGCTAGTTTTAAGTCTGTGTTGTTGCTCATATTTTTCATCTCCTTCCCAAGGATTCCATTCTTC